AAATAAAAAATGGCTTGTTATTGCTTCTACGTGTTATATAAAGGTTTATAATTATGCCATTTTATAGAAAACATTAAGTCTTAACAGATTGGCAAAACAAAGTCCTGCAAAATTAGTCAGAACCTTTATTTATTCCACATTTTGTCATGTTACAACCACAAACTTCATTGGATTTTATTTAGACTTAATACTATTGACCAACACAAAGCACTGCATAAGAGTTAACTAAAAGGAAAATTCAGCTTTTTTTTTTTTTTAGAAATAAAAATAAGAATATGGCAGTGTGTGTTTTTATTCTGTCCACCTGAGTCAATAACCTGTAGAATGAAGTATTGCTGCGATTAAAATGCAAGTTGTTTTGTAGGTATCAGCTTTCCTCAACCAGCAATGATTTTTATTCTCACTCTTATTTGCAAAGCAGCCAGAGTTCAATCAGACTGGACAGATAGACAAACCATCAATAAACAGGAATCTGCAAACCTAACAACACATTCTCAGTTGGATTTAAGTGTGGACTTGGGCTGCACCATTCTAACACATACATATGCTATAATCAAAGGAATTGCACTCTATGTGTGGCTGCTTGTTGCCTGCTGGAAAGTGAACATACACTCTTACAGCCTATAAGAAATGTTCTGCAAGAGGGATTGCTGTCCACTGTCACTACGCTTATCAGGAGCAGGAGAGAGAAAACATGTTCTACTAATTTGTAATAAACTGACCTTTAATAACTAAAATCTAATTGACTTTGAATTCATATGAATGATATATACAGAAATTGTGTATTCCTGTATATAAATTGATAGGTTATTTTGATGAAGTGCCTTGCGATGTGAATTGGTGCTGGATACATAAGCTGAACTGAAATAGCTGTAACATGACCAAATATAAAAAGATTGAAGAGGCGTACATATTTTTGCCAGCCTTTGTATATTTTCAATTTCTGTGTTCAAATTGAGAGTTGTGGAAATTATTTTGGCAATTTATCTGCTGTGTTCTTTTTTTGGCAATTCTCTGCAATAGAACATCTTCAAATCGTGCCCCTTTCAAATGATGCCCACTTAAAGTTAAAGCCGTCTCAGAAGACAGAGCTCTTTTCTTAGAAGTCTTTTAAGCTGTTCATATGTTCTAGTTCTAAAATATTTTTTTTTTTTTTGCCTACTAAGTCTCTTTCTCACTTGACCAAGCAGCCCTTCCAGCTTTAACAGCTCTTTTGAATAATGTGAGCCAATATTTTGCCCTTTAAATTATTCAAGTGAATCGGCTATAACCACAAATCTACTCTAACAGGACTAGTAAAACAAGCAATGAAATCAAAGTACAATGGGATGAAAAAAAAAGTTGTAGAGACCATTTTTCTTCTGTTTTTGTTGTTTTACTTCTGAAGCCAAGGACCATTCTCCACATAGTTTATTTTTGAACTTATTACTGGAAACACTGTCTTTTTAGGTAAACTATTTAGATAGATATTAGATAATCGTGTAACTATTTGTTTATTTATTCTATTTAGTTTTATAATCCTGCCTTGCATATTACTAGGAATATATGTTATCTTTGAGCCTCTCTCTCAAAGTATAGGAACTGTAAGAATATACACCAAAGTCATGGATTCCAGTTTGTCATTAAGTTAAAGGGATTTTCCACTGCTTTTAAGAAATCTGGATAGATTTTTTGTAGCCTGCAAAATGATGGTAGAACTTTTGCCTTGCAGCAAGAAGGTCTTTTGAAGGTCGTTTGAATCCTGACCTGGGGTCTTTCTGCTTTGAGTGTGTTCTTAGATGTGAATGAGTGTGAAATTGTTTGTCCTCATCACTACTCCCATGTATGCTTGCTTGCAAAGGCAAGCAATCATACACCATGTATGGATGCATTCAATTTGATAATCTCCAGCACAAAACATAGATTACTTTGATTTTCAGATCCTAATGTGGAATCAATATTGGAGAGCGATTATTAAAAAAAACATATTTAAGACAACTGTAACCTTCATTTTGTTTTTTCTGAAAATACTAAAATAAATATTCAATGTTTTTTCTCTTGTTTGTCCTTGGGGCCAATTAACCCAAGCATGAAAACCAGATTTTATGGACTTTTTATGGATTTTAAACAGGACTGAATTATCCACTAAAAAAACAACACAATGTTGAAAAAGTCAATCTATTTCTGAAAGTAAATAAATGATTCAGTTGCCGAAGTCGAGGCTCACCAATGGCATCATTTATGCAAGTGCCACACCATTTTTTATTCTGAATCATTATATATGTTAAATTCTAGATTGTATATCTGTTTCCCAGTGTTTTGCATGTTATTAGTCTAACTTAACATTGCCAATGATGTCATAAAATTGGATTGTTCTTGAGAGGTCATCTCTAACCTTCCTCTGCCGAAAAAAGCTTCGCTCTCCATTTAAGTGGTAATCTCCTCCCACACTGGGTTTATTTAATTAGGTCATAGCAAAAGATTTAATTGTTTTATGATAGACTGTAGAACAAGAAATATAAAAAATAATGACAAAACAAATAATCAAACAATACTTTATGATTTTAGGATATTATGAAGTGACTGATTTTGGCACATTGATCTTATAAAACATATTTGTTTCTCGTTCTATTTATTAAAACATGTAAACATTTATATTTTGAATTTTTTTTTTTTGCTATAAAAAAATTACTACCTAAATAAATTTATATTAAACTGGGCAACAGGAAAACAAAACAAGTAACACTGTTGTACTGAGCTTTCCTGAGCCACAGCGTGACTCACACAGGAAAGCCTCTCCGACTCAGCTGATCTCCCTGCACCTTACAAGATCATCTGCCTACCACAGATTTCTGGCTGAAGTTGTCTGGATGAAGAGTCCGCTGAAGCTGCAAGTATCTTTTCTGGAGCTTATGCGTGTCCAGTGTGAATGTGTAGTCACTGCAAACAAGGAAGCACCTGGTGAAACTCAAATGTTTTGCTTACAAACTGATATAGATCAATCAAGTAGGAAAAATAGAAAGATGCATCTTTCTATGTGTTACACTAACCAGTCCAGGATCTTGAAGTAGGACGCCCCTTCCTCGGGGGGTTGGATTGCTTTGCATGAGTCGCAAAAGAAAGAAGGAGTTCTGTCAAGAAGTTGTTTACAGTTCCAGCAGTTAAGTTTAGCTTCGTTTGTGGAATAACTCCTCGACGAAAAGACCTTATTGGTGCGGTAACCTGGTCCTCCAAAGTTCGCATCCCCGTGTCCAGCGTCCTTTCTGTGGAATGTTGACATGCAGCGATGTGAACATGTAACAGTTTTAGGAGCAGCGTGTCGGTTCGGCATCAGGCAGCGTGCCGCCCGGAGCGAAGGCGAGACCCGCAGCAGACAGTTAGTGTGAAACATCCTATTAGTTGCTATGATGTCAACCAAAGAGTAATAAAAAAAAAAAAAACCTCTGGACCAAAACAAATAGCTCTCTGTCAGCGAAAAGCAGAAGAAGACAGTTTCTTCTTCGAAATCCGTTGCGCACCACAGCGCCACCGCTCGCTTCAGTCACGAAAGTTGCCAAGATGCCTTGGACGATGGCTAACAAGCAGGCGCATATTTAGTCAGCAATAAATAGTATTAAAATTTAACGTTCGGTTCGAATGTGGATCGCCATTAGAAGTAAGTTACAAATTGCAAAAGCTTCATTTTAGGATGAAAAGTCTACCTTTCCTATGAGCCAAACCGATGATCAGAATGCCAACTTCTGATTGCAGAAACAGGGAGCTGCTAGCATGTAGCTAATGAGCTAGTGGCTGGGATAGCTTTGCTTGCTGATGTATTTAAATTGCAAATATGCAGTTTTGTTTTCTTTGATCTTTGCTAAAAGTAAATCCCTTGCTGGTCAGGTGTTTTTTTTTTCTTCATCAGATACCGGTGAGATTTTAGCGTCGCATAATTTCATCGAATAATTCCGAAAGAAAAGTCACCTGCCTCAAACTTTCTGTAAATGACTGCATCAACTACTTTGACGAAAAGTAAAAGTCATTTGTTTTACCGTCTCGTTAGCTGTGTTATTTTGTACGTTAAAAGTGGAATATCTCGTTTCAATATGAAGTAAATCTTGAAAATGCCACCACAGCTTCGTAATTATTTTTTGCAGGACGGTTTTGGAGTGCATTGAACAAGAAAACTACAAATTTAGCACAAGAGTTGAGCTGATCAACATTAATGAGGAATTAAGTGCATTTTTCAGTATATATCCTAATTACACTGAAACTACAATCTATACAAGAGTCTTTCCCAGAGATTCCTCGGATGAAAAACAACTTATGTCTGATTTTTTTAAAAAAAAAGCCTTGGCTCATAACTTCAAAATAAGAATCTGTATTGTTGCTCTCTTCAAAGCATCATATATGCTTGGAATACATTTCTTTATCAGGTCTGTTGAACCTTACCATGCTCACATAAACCAGAAAATAGCAGGAACCACATTTTCATTCCCTAAATGTCTTCTGTTCAGATCTCCTGTTGAACTGGCATGGCGATGAAAAAGGAGGTGGCCCATGAAGACTGTTGGCTACTGAGAGAGTGGCTGCTCCACCCGGGACATCATCAGGGGCTGGAGCTCAGATAACACCTCCAAACTGGCCAGTGTTTTATCATCTTGTGCTGCTTAATCTATTCACTGATCCAAGTTGCTGCATCTGAGATGCTGTTAGGTGAGTAAAAGTTCCTCAGTAGTGAGGAACTTTTAAAATAGCAAGCCAGAGTGTACTTGCTTTTCTGGCAAAAGATCACACTAGGCGTCTCGGATCCTCGACTTTACAGTTTCCTGACAAAGTACAAGCAGTGATGAATGCCTGCCCCTGTTCTTGTTTTTTATGTGTGTGTGTGTGTGTGCGTGTGTGTGTGTGCGTGTGTTTTGGGGGAGGTGGGAGTTCAAGGGGTGATGACTGAGTATTCCGGAGAGACAGTGGATGGAGACAGAAGCATCCGTAAGGTAAACAGGATCTTCTCCTGAAGGTCGAGGGAGGTGCTTCTCAAGGCCCCCACAGACAATACTCTGGGTATTATTAACGGAAATGGCTAAGAATAGAGAGGAGAGGAGCGAGGTGGCTCCTCTGGCGCTCACGTTGTTTGGGTTAAACACGCCAAAACGGAATGTCTTCTTTACAAAAAGGCCTTCTTTGGCGTGCATGTTGGGTGTGGTGCAGTCACACGACGCAAGAGGTTGATCCGAAGGGCTAGATCAGGCTTTCATGCACAGCAGAGACAAAGCACGGTGGCTGCGAAGAGTTCTACTCTTCTTTATAAATGGCTTTGTTGGGCTTTACAGTTTGGATTTGTAAGTAATTCTGTTTTTCCTCTCCATCTAAGACATTTTTATATTTCATCTATGTCTTGTCTGCAGTTTGCTAGTTTTGAGTTGGGCATATTTAACGACTGCGTTTATCGTGTGGATTAAATTTGCATGCAGCAAGGATTTATTCCTGCTTAGCAGTGGATTAAAACCTTTCTATTAGGTGGGGCTGGTTTGTTTCATATGTGCAGCATCAGTTATGATGCAATGTTTGCATAATTATGTAAGATGAATGACAGATCAGTCAGTAACATAATTTAGAATAAATATTGTTTTAGGGTAATCCAGAAACGTAGCTCCAATAACAGCGCCTCTATTGCTAAAGGTTACAGAAAAAGTTAGAATCAACAAATGACAAATATCAAAGAGAAGGGTTTGAAAAATATTTAGTTATTACAACTGATGCTGCTATTGAAATAATCTTTAAATACAAAGCAATTATTTCATATTAATCTAAATTGTTTCTCTAATCTGTGTGATTTTGATAAAGAATCATACAGGTCTTTTTATTGACCTACAAAAAGAGTAATCTGGATTTCTTTTCCTTTTTTTGGGACGATGCAGGGACAGGGTTGATATGGAAGCCATAATTATTTAAAATCATTAATCTTTTGATGTAAAAAAAATGCATTTGCTTTTTGGTCTTCAAAAATTGACTTGCCTGGAAAATCTAAATATCACGTGATACATTCTTTTTAAATCTTCCCTTCAGTGAAAAAAAATGACACTTTCTTTTAATTAAATGTAGAATGTTATATAAAACTTAAATCAGTAATGTAGAGGGATTAGACAATTTCTAGAAAACAAATTGAAAAAGATTTCTCACATATGTAAATCTTAAAAAGTGATGATTACAATTGTTGAAATGTGCAGTAATCTTACAAAAAAAACAAATATCCCAGCTGTATAATTTTCCTTATTATGCAGCCCTGTTACAGGCTTCCACTCAGGTGTAATAAAAACTGCAACAGGTGGAGATTTAACAATATCTCAAAATAGGAGGATGGCTCTAACCGCTTCATGTGGATAAATGTGATGAATAATCATGATCAGAGAACGGTTTCACTACCATAATGAGCAGAGTAATGGATCTGCTTAGTATGTGTTCAACATCAGTGCTAAATTCTTACATTAAAGGAGCAGCATGCAACTTGAGTTGAGTTATTTTGTAAAATATTTCTGAATGCATACGTTTTTCTGTATGTTTTCTTCACTGAAATTCTGTTATTATGCTAACTTGTTTGCATAATGCTAATATATGACCAATTTTATTTTATTTTTTTACTTTCTTGCTGATTATAACTGTCATTTATTTTTGTTTTATTTTAATAACTGGTTATAACAATCTGACCAGTCACACTGGTCTGAAACTCTAGCGGGCACAGGCTGTTTTCATAGCCTTAATTCATATTGAAAGCACTAATCTCCGAGCCTGAAATTTCTTCCAATTGCTTTTCTTAATGTAGACAGGTCATTATCTTTAATAAATAATTTTAGTATTCAAAACAAATTGACATTTATATTTTATGAACAAGTGGTTTGACATTTGATGTAACATTTAGATGTTCTTCTGTTTCCCTTTGTTGCTAGATAAATTGGATCTTATTAATTAGTGCTTGAATCAATAAAAATCTAGCTCAGTCAGTTAATGGAAACACTGATTGAAACTGAAACATTATACGACAATATACTCTTTTTTTGTTTGTTTGTTTGTTTTTTTCCTCATACTTTGTTCCATTATTTTATAAACCTTCAAGACTTGTTGTGTCTGGAAGTGGGTTATGTAGAGTGGTTGTGAAAAGAAAGTGTGCCTCCTGTAAAATTCATGGTTTTATTTATTTGAAAGTACCTTTTATTTAGTGCAGAATCTCCAAAATCAGTAACAATGACCAACTTTCTAACCGATGGTTCATGAGTGACTTTATCACTGGAGTTTTCATAAAACCAATGTATATTACTTTTTAAAATATTAACCAACCTTAGCTTCCCAGTCTATTTTTGGGGTCTTGCAGGATTATTAAAGTATTAAATTTCCAGCGTTATTTGTTGTTTTTGTCAGAACTGAAAAAAGGGGATTGTTTCCTGCAAACCAGTGATATTAACTCTTTCTTTTTCACTCTCACAGATGAGCCATGATCCCCATCACTGAGCTGCGGTACTTTGTGGACACACAGCCAGCATACCGCATCCTAAAACCATGGTGGGATGTGTTCACCGACTACATCTCCATTGTTATGCTCATGATTTCGGTGTTTGGCGGCACACTTCAGATCACCCAGGACAAGATGATCTGCCTTCCCTGCAAATGGATCGTCAATGAAACCTGTAAAAAGAACTTCAGCTCCACCCTGTCCACATCCTTCCTATTGGAGCCTAAAGGGATCCAGTACAATCTGGATCGCCATCAGTACAATTACGTTGATGCAGTGTGCTATGAAAATAAGTTACACTGGTTTGCCAAGTACTTCCCCTACTTGGTATTACTCCACACTCTTATTTTTCTAGCCTGTAGCAACTTTTGGTTCAAATTTCCTCGGACTAGCTCCAAACTGGAGCACTTTGTATCCATCTTGCTTAAATGTTTTGACTCTCCATGGACAACCAGGGCACTGTCGGAGACGGTGGTCGAAGAAAGTGATCCCAAACCAATGAAGATGAATGGATCGTTTGACCACAAGGAGTCTGTGATAAGTGAGGATGTTGAAGCAAGTGTTCCAATGATTCAGAAAACAAAGACGCGTTTTGAGCAAGGCATCGTTGACAGAACTGAAACGGGTGTTTTGGACAAGAAAGAAGGAGAACAGGCAAAAGCCCTATTTGAAAAAGTGAAGAAGTTCCGTATCCATGTGGAAGAAGGAGACATCGTGTACAGATTATACATCCGTCAGACTATCATCAAAGTAATCAAGTTCATTTTAATAATCTGCTACACGGGGTATTATGTTCAAGACATTCAGTTTAATGTGGACTGCTCTGTGAATATAGAAAACCTGACTGGTTACAGAGTGTACCACTGTGCTCATCCACTGGCGACACTTTTTAAAATCTTGGCGTGTTTCTATATTTCCTTAGTGGTCGTGTACGGACTAATCTGCATGTACACACTCTGCTGGATGCTGCGGCGCTCTCTGAAGAAGTACTCCTTTGAATCTATCAGGGAAGAGAGCAGTTACAGTGATATACCCGACGTGAAGAATGACTTTGCATTTATGTTGCACATGATAGACCAGTATGATCCTCTATACTCCAAACGTTTTGCTGTGTTCCTCTCAGAAGTCAGTGAAAATAAGCTGAGACAGCTCAACCTGAACAATGAGTGGACGCTTGACAAGCTCAGGCAGAGGATAACCAAGAACTCTCAGGAGAAGTTGGAGTTACACCTTTTCATGCTGAGCGGCATTCCAGATACAGTGTTTGATCTGATGGAGTTGGAAGTTCTCAAACTGGAGCTTATCCCAGATGTTACCATCCCACCGATCATTGCGCAGCTCATCAACCTCAGAGAGATGTGGCTCTATCACACTCCAGCCAAAATCGAAGCTCCTGCCTTGGCTTTTTTGCGAGAGAACCTCAAGTCTCTTCACATCAAGTTCACCGACATTAAAGAAATTCCTTTATGGATTTACAGTTTAAAGAACCTCAGTGAGCTTCACCTCACAGGGAACCTGAGTGCTGAGAATAACCGTTATATTGTCATTGATGGGCTCCGCGAGCTCAAGAGGCTCAAAGTTCTCCGCCTGAAGAGCAACCTCACCAAGCTACCTCAAGTTGTGACCGACGTGGGTTTACACCTCCAGAAGCTCTCTATCAACAATGAAGGCACCAAACTGATGGTGCTGAACAGCCTGAAGAAGATGGTGAACCTTACCGAGCTGGAGCTCATTCGCTGTGACCTGGAGCGCATCCCCCACTCCATCTTCAGTTTGCACAACCTACAGGAGATTGATCTGAAGGACAACAACCTAAAGACCATTGAGGAGATCATCAGCTTCCAGCATCTTCATCGGCTGGTGTGCTTAAAGCTCTGGTACAACCAGATTGCCTACATTCCCATTCAGATTGGCACTCTGACCAATCTGGAAAAGCTGCATCTGAACAGAAACAAGATTGAAAAGATTCCCAGCCAGCTGTTTTATTGCCGGAAGCTACGAGTCTTAGACTTGAGCCACAACAACTTGACGTACATTCCAACAGATATAGGATACCTTCAGAATCTACAGTACATGGCAGTGACAGCCAACCGGGTAAGTTGTTGAAATTCACTCTTTGTTCCAACAGCTTCGCTAAAGAATGTATTTTGTCTCATTTTGTCACAAGACCACATATTTTATTTGATTTGAGATTTTATCAAAGCAATGGCACAGGAAGTTTATTTTTCGCATTTCAGCAAGAATTTCAAAGTGCTTTATGTGGGGAAAAATACACATTATACTGAAGTAGTTTTAAGAAAGGAAAGTAATGAAATGTTGAAATGCAGACAAAAATTTATGATGTCCCGGTCAATAATTATTACAAGTTTCTCTAATGGGATTTTAGCCTTGATGTAAAGGAAGTCAGCATTTTTGCAGTTTAATGAAAGTTTTCTTCAAATTAAAGAAGCTTAAAAACTAAAAGTAGGCCTGAACCAAAAGACCTTAGGCTTGATGTAAGTCATTGAGTGATTTATAAACCAACAAAAATAAAACCTAATGTGTCAGCTACAGGGGATATTTTCTATTTTAGGCAAACCTCTGAAGACACTGTTTCCATTATCGATGTGACTAAACATTAACACATATGCTTTTCAATTTCTTGTAAGTAAAGATCTTTAATCCTGGAAATATTCTTCAGGTGATAGAAGACTAACTAAATCTCTATGTGTCTCTAATGGTTTGGATCTGAGTCCATCACTATACCCTGATTTTGGGCCTGATCTGTAGTTTCTGGCTCTAATAATTGAAACCGTCAGTCTTAATCACTCCACCTTTCGTCCAAAAATAATTACTTCAGTTTTGTTTTTATTCAGCTGAAGAATGTTTACTACATCCAGTCATTGATTTGTTTTTTGCATCTACTCAATGAATGCTTGAATGGGTTTATATTCACCCTGTGACATTGGGATTTAGAGCTGGGCATCATCTGTTTATCTTGAGCAAAAAATATTGTGTAGATATTAAATTGGAGGGGTCCTAAATAGATTGATCCTGGGGGGCCTGCATGTGACTTTTAACAACTCAGATGAAAAGTTATGTAGTAACACAAATAATAACTTGTTTTTTAAGAAAAACTTGAACGAGGTCAGTACCTTGCCAGAAAGTCCAACCCATTTTTTTCAGTCTATCCAGCTGTGCACTGCTTTTTCTTTGTCTGTTACATAAGATCCCAGTAAAATTAATTGAGGTTTATCTTTAAAATGTGACAGAATGTGGAGATGTTCAATGAATGGTAAAACTTTTACAAGATGAACCATTTTATATTATTGTTTATTACATATGTTAAGCTTTAGTGCCTTTATTTAATGATTTTCTGCTCTTTTTTTTTTTGGCCCCAATGCGACTCTCCACCCTCTGTAAAATAAAGATCGAGACACTGCCAAATGAGCTGTTCCAGTGCAAAAAACTTCGCACCTTGAACCTGGGGAACAACTGCCTCCAGTCCCTTCCATCACGCTTCGGAGAGCTGACCGCACTGACTCAGCTGGAGCTCAGAGGAAACCGTCTGGAGTGTTTGCCTGTGGAGCTGGGAGAGTGCAGACTGCTGAAGAGAAGCGGTCTTGTGGTCGAAGAGGACCTCTTCAACACGCTGCCCACTGAGGCTAAGGAGCAGTTGTGGAAAGCTGACAAAGAACAAGCATGAACTTGTTTGTGAGGAAACCAAACGATACCGTCCGCTTTGGTCAGGATACAGAGTGGAAGCCCATGGTGTCCCTGAGGCAGAAAGAAACAGGATGTGCTCCCGCTTCAGTGTACTGCCAGTAAAGTTAGGTATTAAACCAGTGCCAGTTTAGCAGACCAAATGCTGACTCTGGCATCTGCTGCTTGTTTTTTATTTCTCTTTTGTAAAACTTCCGAGGCCAGTTCCATTATGATCTCGATATTTTGTTTACAGTATAATTTTGTGGTATTAATGGTTTAGAGGAAAAAAAATGTAAAAGAAAATTATTGGCCAACTGAACATATGTGGACTGCTCTGAATTCCAAAATAGGTCCCTATTTATATTTTTTTAAATATTATGTTTACTCTTGGGGGTTTATATGAACAACCAAAGTTAAATTGCCAACCTTACAAAGTAAACACTTTTCTACAAGGTGTAGCAGCGTATCTCTTGTACAACACTAATGTTAACCTAACTAAAACATGGATCATAGTGTTTCTGCTCTTCATTGTGGGCTGTGGTTCTTAGATACCTGTGCTGGCTTGGTTGGTAAAGTCTTGAAAATATGACTTGAAACACATTAGAGGTAACTGAAAGTGCTGTAGTCAGAAATATAAAGTTGTCTTTAGGGAAATTACTGTACATGGTCAGACTTGGTTTGAGGTTTGAGCATAATTTGGATTTCTGACCTCATACTGAAGCTGTTTGTGTTCTCATCCTCAAGTTTAAGGATAAATCTTTCCACAAAATGCTACTTTAAACAGCCATCATTAGGAAATGTTTTGTACAACTAAGTCTCAGGGTGTGTTGGGGGTTTTTTATAGGTGGAGTGGATCAAATTCTGTTTGGTGTCCTCTGTTTGTATCTTAAAAAGAAAATTCAAATGGAAGTAGATTTTGAACAAAAATTTTTAAAAATTTGTCACTTTTGAAGTTGGATGTAGTGGAGAGAATGAGAACATTTAGTATCTTACTTGCTGTAGGTCTTGATAACATTTTAGAGAAGAGGCTTGGATCATTTAATCAGGGTGACTTGTGTCCAGTAGGAAGAGTAGATGTCTTGTAATCCGGAAGTTGTGGGTTTGATTCCAGGATCTGCCACTTAAGGGTTCCCATGGGCAGCACACTTAACCACAAACTCTTTGAGTAATTGGTATAACTTGAAAAGAACTGCATAAATTCAATCCAATAACAATTAAGCTAACATCCAAGAATGGGCCAAGAAAACATTTTGGCAAGATAAATATTTTTTAGCAGTCTATAATGATATTTGAACCTTTGCACATTGTCACTTTTGTGAAAAACATCCTTTACATAAAAACCCAGGTTAAGTGGTCAAGATTTTTGTGGCCTGTTGCCAGTTGCATTGTTTGTGAAACATGTTGTAAACTAGTTGTGTGTAACAAAATTTCTATTTAAATAGCATTTAAATGCAAAGAAGGGCACCGTTTAATTTCTAAATTTCAAAATTTTCATGATTTGAAATTAAAGCCAATTAGATTTGAACAAAAAATTACATTTTATTTAGTAAAAGTGGAGAAAGAAAAATATGGCTTCAAATTAATAAAGAAATTGTAGAATTAGCTGTCTTAACAGTAAGGGTTTGTCTTTGTTGTGTGGTTTGGTGTTATGTAGTGTTTAAGCGTCTACAGCATGCCACTATGACATATTTATGGTATTATCAAAACTAAAATGCTATGGGTTAATATCATCATGGTATTAATACAAACTTTTAAATAAAAACTTCTCAGCATGATTGCTTTTATTCAAAACTGTTCTCCAGACATTTTGAGGTTTACATGAAAGACTTACCTTAGTAAGAGTGATTGGGGCTCTTCTTTACTCCCCACATGTTGACCTTGACTGTTGTGTCTTTGTGACCATTAATATTTGGGAACAGTCTTTTTTTTCTGCAAGCATTAAAAAATTCAGGAGCAGTCTGTCATCCAGTTGGAGAAAAACTATAATCACTTTTATATTAACGAGTGGCTCTTTGAAGCTTTTCTGTACCTTGATATCATCACACAGGCCCAGTCCTAATTCACACAGATAGAAAATATTTATTTGTAGTCACCACCACTTATAGAAGGGGATACTCCTGCTCTTTGTGTTGCTCTTTTGTGTAACTCTTGTCGTTTTTACTCGTTCTACATTTGAAGTTACTTTTGCAGCTAATATTGCATTCTTGCTTTGTTACAATACCGGTCATAACTTTATTTTTATATAAGCTAACAAGTAAAGGTTTGGAAATCTAACTTGAGTTTGTTGAACTAAAATGTGCAAAATTCATTTATTGTTCACTTTATTTGTCACATGGATCTCATGTTTATATACCCAATTATGTTGTAATTTAAAGTTGTTTTTTTCTCAACTGTTGTAAGTGTTCAAATTTAAGTAAAATGGGTTTTATCTTATATTTAAAGGTCACTTTTCTAGGGTTTCTAATATTAAAACAAGCAAAAAAAACCTTTGTTATTTGGTGTTCATGAAGTAATGCAGTAAGGGAAGACTGTTTTTCTTCCCTGAATAAAAGTGTGAAAAAACACTCAGACAAGTAACAGTCTACACTATTTTAACTGCTGAAAAGTATGAAACATATTTTAAGCCATGTTCATCTAATTCAGTAGCTTGTGTAGTCACAATAAATTGTGCAATATTGCTTTCCTTTAAACTAAATGTGGGTTTCACAGGTTTGGGGGCATCAGCATCCTTTTTGATGCACTTGTTTTTTTTTACTACAGTGATTTAAAATATTGTAGATGAAGTAGGTCATTTAAAATTATGTTTTTCTGGAGAATGCTTTTGCACTCTAGCACCTTTTCCCACAATGTTTTGCAAATGTAATAATGGCACAAAACTAACATATACGAGATGTATTGTGTTTGTCTTGTTCTTGAGTAATTGCATACCATAAAAACAAAGTGTGTAAATTAAGATTCAGTACCTTTAATACTTACATTACCTGTTGGACATAGTCCTCTTACTAAGACAATCAACATTTTTGACCAACTGTAAAATAAAAATGAAGTTGTAGTGAGTAAACATTTACCATAGACTGCTTGGATAGTTATCCGTGTATAGACTGTTTTCGTCTCTTTTGTTCTCTTTTTTTAAACCTTTTATAACTTTTCTTCTATTATGTCAGGTGTTATATTGAAATAGTTTCTCAGGAATACAGCTAGAACTCTTCTTTTTTTATGGGTTGCCTATTGTTTTTTTTATTCGTTTTTTGTAATACACATGGTTTTTGTTAAGATCTAAACTTATAGGACCATTTTGTGTGCTGTTTTCATTATTATTTTTTTTATATGTTTTGAGAAAATAAAATCCTTGGCTTAATAATTAACTACATTTTTACCACTGATAATGTGTAAACTACATGAATAAAGCTACTTTTTAGATGTGTTGTATTACAAAGGACAAGTCTGTGTGTTTGAATTATAGGGCTTTCTTCATGCTGTTGGTCATGATAGATTTTTTTCTCTTTTTTCGTGGGTACAAAAATCATCAGTTTCTCTTTTCCAATAAAATGTGCTCATTCAGTTTTGTTGAGTCACTTTTTTGTTGCCAAAACATAAAGGGAAAAAAAAATCCTGATTTTTTTTTTTTTTTTTTTTTTTTTTGCGGCACTATTATTATTCATGCTATTGTGTTTTGCTCTCTTACTTAAACCTGCATCTTGTTTTCTTGTGTACCACCCAGTACAACAAAATAAACTAGGTTGAAAAAAATTGTCTGATCTTTTGTTTGTGGTACAAATTGCTCTTCATCGTTATAGATTTTCCAGATGTATTTAAATAAACAAAAATAAATAATTTCTTTCTGAAAGTGAAAACCCAGGATTTACACATAGTTGCCCCAGAACTTCCTCAGGATTTTCATTTATTCTGGTTTCTGAAACTGGACTGATTGATCTGAAAGGCTAAGAAAACAACAGCAGATATTTAATGTATTTGCTGGTAAGCTACTCAGTAATTTCTAAACTAATAAAAGTATTTTCAGTGCTACAAGGAACTAGCTTAAGGACTTTATAACTGGGGTTTTGTGCTCTAATTTTCTAACTTTACTTCGAATGTGAGGAATGGAATTCTGGACCATCTGCAGGAGTCAGATTTTTTAATTTAGACCTACAAGGTTGATATATTAACAACACTAATTTGTGAACATTTTATTATTTATTTTTATAATCAACAAAATAATGCGACGAAAAAAAAATGTTTTGATGCATTTACACATGACTAAAATATTACTCAGCTTGCCCTGACCATAGACAATCAACGCTCAATGGTTCTTCGCGGAACCATTAACAAGGTACTCTATTCCAGCCGGATGGGTTTGTTGTATGCACCACAGCGCAGACGCAACATTTAAAATGGTAATTTCTTTGTAACGTTTTATAAAAAGTTTGGGATGCATTTCGAATAGTTTAACATTCTCCTAATCGATTAAGGAACGGTGTATTTTACAGATACTAATGTCGTAATGACTATGTTAACACCGTGGGTGTAACGGTTATCTGTCAGTTTGAGCTAAAATCCTTGGTGTGTCAAATCAGCCTCATTGATTCCGTTGTTTGTAATATATATTTATATGTTGTTCATGTCTTAGGCAGTTACCCTCCACACAGATCTGGGAGACATTAAGATTGAGCTGTTCTGTGAGCGAGCGCCTAAGTCCTGTGAGGTGAGTTTTACAGCTGGTTTTAATCTGATAAAGCCTCATCAACATCTGTGGAAAAGCTGTATTCACTTGATTAGTATGTTTAGTCTGAGCTCAGACAATTGAAACGTGCAGGGACAATAAATGTTAGAATCTAACAACATTGAGGTTGTAAAGATTTGTATAGGGTTAAATGAATGTACTCAAACTGAAGGGTATTCTATTTTTTTATTTGCAATGTAGTTGTTCAACATAAGTTCTAATACTTATTACATAAGTAATATTGCTATTTTTCAGTGTGAGACATGCTACAGTAAAGGTAGAATATATTGTAAGTCGTTCTACATTCTGTACCAGGTGTGAGAACATGTTTATTTGTAGAGAATTGTATTTGAAGATCCAAAGCAGGCAGTTTTGTAATTACAAACCTAAAAAGTTAGAGTAGAAAAGGCAGCAGAAAACTCAATCTTGATTTCATGTTGAAATTACTGGGATTTTATTTACTTTACAGAACTTCCTGGCTTTGTGTGCAAGCGGGTTGTATAATGGTTGCTCCTTTCATCGAAACATAAAAGGCTTTATGGTTCAAACCGGAGACCCGACAGGTAAGGAGTTTATTACACAAACATGAACACAACCCTTCTCCTGACATTCTCATTGTCTCTAGATTTTTTTCTTGATAGATTATTGATTTATTTTGTTTCATTCTGCAGGTACAGGCAAAGGAGGAACAAGTATATGGGGTCGTAAATTTGAAGATGAATTCAGTGAGCACTTAAAGGTGAGCAAAGTGTTGTTTGAGACCATTTTAAACATAAGAGTGTAGCAGGATTACTTTATTTCTTTTTCTTTTTAGCACAATGTCAGAGGAGTCGTGTCGATGGCAAATAATGGGCCCAACACCAATGGCTCCCAGTTTTTCTTCACATATGCCAAACAACCTCATCTGGACATGAAGTACACGGTGTTTGGAAAGTATGACACTTATACAATGTACAGCTGTAATGATTCTGAGATTACCTATTGATTTATTCTAATTCAAACCTAAAGGAGACCCTTTTGTTACATCTTCTCAAGTTCTTTTCCTTTTCCCTTTATTTTCTCTCTCCCGTTGACTTGTAGGATTATCGATGGTCTGGAAACACTGGATGAGCTGGAGAAACTGCCAGTGAATGAGAAGACATTCCGGCCGCTCACTGAGAGCCGGATAAAGGACGTGACCATTCATGCCAACCCATTTGCTGGATAGACGATTCTCGCCACAGATATTCAAACCTGTTCTTTGTTGCTTCAGTGAGGCAGAAGATATAGTGCCTTTCCAAAGTTAAAATGGATTGCTTGTCAAAAGGAGAAAAGTAACTGCAGCAAAAAAAAAAAAACTGTTAGGTAAGTCAGGCAAGAACTGACTATGAAGCTCCAAAGTTCTTAGTAGTTTTTATGAGGAAATACAAAACTTGATTTAAAAAAAATCACAGCTTGTGCTTTAGCCACTTTTTTAAGCACCATGCCTGAAACTCAAGTTCTTTCATAAAAGGTTTTTCTTTTTTTATGTTCTTCTAAAATGGTTCACAATCAACCTGGATATGTAGTCAAACCCTGCTTCTGCTTCATTTTCCCTTTTTGATCTTATTAATAAAAAAGAATAAAATTCAACATTTTATACTAAATACATTTTTCAGTATACTTTTGTGTTGTCTGGTATTACATTATGCTACTGAGAAAAGTTGCAGAGAAGCTTAAGTTTGGGCAGAATTACAGGTGCATCTCACTTTATTGGAACGTCATTGTAAAGTTGATCAGTTTCTATAATTTAACTCAACAAGTCAAACTCTTATTAATTCATAGGATATATTTCTTGCACTTTTTTGTTTGGAAATTGATATTCTCCATTACATAAAAAATTTTATATTTTAATTCATTAATGACCTCGTGAAAATAAATGTACTTTATGTCCTCAATACTTGATCAGGACTCCTTTTTGCATTAATGCCTAGGTGCAGCGTTGCATGGACACAGTCTGCATGACGTTATATATGTGGTCAAGACTACTGCTGAAAAGTTACAAGTTTAAAAACAAACTAAATCTACTTTAAATAATCCACTTTGTTGGTTATTTAAAGTAGATTTAGATTCTAAAATTGACTTTTTTTTTAGCTTTATCAAGTCATAATGTCATTACGACAAACCTGGAGTGTTCCTTCGACTGTTTCTAGCATGATTGAAGAATTTATTGGATTAAAATAATCTCTAATAATTCTAGGAACGTATGTGATACCAAAACCTTTATTTTTTACATTTTTTCATGTTTGGGGTTTTGTTACCTGTACACAGGGGTGTACAAACTTTTTGCCATGTGGCCCTAATAACACATTTTCATGTCAAAATGAAAACAAAGAGCTAATGAGTTGTACAAAGATGTTCCATTTGTAGAAATACTGTCACAATTCAGGCAAACTTGCACCACTCTTTAATTGTAGCCACCTTGTGGTCCGTCTTATTAAAATAAACAAAAATAAACTACCAAATTATATCACTGAGTGTAATAACTTTGAGTTAATTCATGTGTTTTTAGGAGGCACCTGTAGCATCTGTTCGCACAATAAACTACAAATCTGGTGCTAGTTCGTCATATTACGTCATCAGTGGTGGACAGACCTTTCTGGTCCTGGATTAGAAACCATAGACATAAGCAAAACCTTCAAAAATGGCTTCAGAAGACGCTTTTAAAGTGAGTCGTACTTTTCGCGTTTTTTATTAAATGCAGTTGAAGAAAAACGTCCTTCTGCATGTTTGTTTACCTTTGTGTGCAGAGTCATCTGATAGTTTCAGTTTCTATGTTGGTGGGTTTTTTGCAGGTGTCATCACTGAGGGGGAAGGTGTCCCTGATAACGGGAGCCAGCTCGGGGATCGGGGCTGGTACCAGCGTGCTGTTCGCTAAACTCGGAGCTCTGCTGGCTTTGAACGGCCGAGACGAGCAAAACCTCAAGAAAGTGGCCGAGCAGTGCGTCGAATGTGGCGCTGCTGAGGTACACGCTTTTCCCAGGATCTGTGTACAGATTTGCATTGAGCCAAAAGTATTTAAAAAAGTATAAGAGGGTGCATTTGAACATTTTCTGTTTATATTATCCAATATTTAGTAAATACGAGCAGATTGGCTAGGGTTTCAGTATTTAAGAATTTTTTGCTTGTCATTATTTTTTATAAATGAAAATTCTGAATAAACTTTAACTAACCATAACTAAATGTTTCTGCTTCAAAAAAAAAAAAAAAAAAAAAAAAAACATTTTACTTCAAGTGTAAAATTTTGATTTTCTTTTTTATCAAATGAATAATAATATAGTGTCAGTTTTCTTCTACAGCCTCTGCTTGTTCCTGGAGACCTGACTGATGAAGACACAGTGAGGAAGACTGTGGAACAAACCATTAGTTGCTTTGGTCGGCTGGATGTCCTGGTTAACAGCGCTGGCATCCTGGCTATGGGCAGCATTGAGACCTCAGACTTGGCTCAGTATGACAAGGTCATGAATGTTAACGTCAGGTAGGATTCACGGGAGACACTATTCAAATCCATGTGAATGTAGAGCAAATATACATTTAGAAAGTCAGCTAAGCTCAATTTTGGATTTATATTTCTGAGTGTACAAAATACATAGAAATGCATTGTTAAAATCTCTAATCCATCTGTTTTTTTCAGTCACTACAGATTGAGTTAATAAATCAAACCCAGAAGATATTTGTGATACTCAGTTTCACACTGATTAAGATTTTGCAATAGGAACTTTTCTCATGAGATTGAAATCTATCTCATATTGATTTTTTTGTCTTTAAAATGTAATTTTGTGTGGTCCAACCAAAAGATGCTTCAACACTTTAGTCCAGTGCC